TGATGATCAAATATTTTCCTCTCTAAGATTGGGGAATATAATTAATTTTACTTTGGGAAGAAGCTCCATTGATCTATTCCTTGATACAAATTAAATGCAACATTAATTCTCCATCTCATGATACATGGTCCATACCCTGTATACGCTACACTTTCCATAGCTAGTTCACCCTACTCAATAGGGCACTGTGGTTGGTGGTGAGAAGCACCAACCCCACCCATATGAACCCTTCCGAATTTCCGGCAAACTATGCTACTTGCTAAAGTCGCTCACAAGCCATGTTGAAGTCAATTTTCGATTTATTGATATTGTATAAAATCTATACATTTACAGCATTAATGTTAATCTAACTTAACTTGACTGATCCGTCATCGGATCGGGTCAGATGGATTCGTTCTTTCCTTCACTAAGCATGCACCAATCTTAAGAGTTTAGCAAGACTACTCAAAGAGAAATTTTAGATAACTTATTCAAATCAAAGTTATGGAACCGCACTTTGACCTTGTTAGCCTAGTTTATACTTTATATTATTTGCGATAGGAACACACTTACACACGCAAACAGGTGGCAATACGATTAATCTAAACGGTCGACATGAACATGTCTAGACGGCGGTTTGATGGGTGCAAGACCGGTGGACGGTGACGTCAAGAGGCGTCAGAGGCTTAGGCAAGTGTCTCGGGTGCAGCTCAACATACAACCCAACAATGACTGACTGTAAGACATCTAATTCTGATTAATTTATTTGGAATAAAAAAATAATTAAGCATTCGTCAGCGTCGAAGAAGCTGGCTTGGCCATTTTCATGACTAGTTTAATTCAATTAAATAAAATAATAAAAAAAAGGGTGATTAAATTATGGGGTTGCTTCACATGGCAGGAGATGGTGGCGATGGCTGTGGGGAAAGACAAAAACCCTGTTACAGTTTTTTTTTTTTTTAATATATAGTATTGCTCAGAGAGAGAATCCCAGTTTTAATTTGTTCTCTTACGGGCAGTGCGTCTGTGTGTGATAGGGTTGTCATGCAGGAACGTGCGGCAAGTGTTGTCCCTAACCCAATCAATGATCCCCCCAAATAAAACTAAACTAGGGTTCTTGTTTTATGGGGATGGACCACCAAGAAAATCCCACTGGATGACTGATCAATTCTTTTTCAATCCTCTCCCTCTAAACCTGGTTTTGTACTTCCCCATGAAAGAGACAAAAACTTTGTATAAGCCCACCACATTGAGAGAGCAACATGATTAGTTCTGGGTCTATGTACATCTCTGCATGCATTAACTTCCTTTAATTAAATTCCCAGCTTCATGTGGAAATGAATGCCTATGGACATAAATAATAAGCAATGGTTAACAGACTTATTAAGAAAGGAGTTTTCCGTCAATACAACCTCGTGTCAATGTTTAACTGATTAACGGCAATTAATTATAAGAACTTTTGCTTGAAAAGCAATAAGTGGTGGAGGAAGAACTAACTAGTTCTAGTCCTAGGTCGACCTGTCTAATCTTGATGGTCAATAAATTAGGAAGAATTGAAGCTATTACTGTTATAAACTTAACGCAAGAATACCTCAAGTTTAAAGGTGAGGACTGAGGATCGTTTATTTCTTATCTCTTAACAAAAACTAATAAAGGGGAGATGGTTGGTAAACACTTGTCTTTTGAAGGAGTCCAAAGCCAAAGGCTAAAGCCAAAAAATCGGGTAGACACAGAGAGAGAAAGAATGGTTGTGTGCTACAGTAGATTCTGAAAATGTCTCATCAAACATAAGGGGTCGGTGATACCCTGATTTGATCATTGGCCCATTGAAAACTTCAATCCTATCAAATACTAAGCAAAAACCCCAAACCCCTCCCTCCCCGCCCACCACTACATCCCAACATCCATGTATTTCCTATTTGTAAAGCATATATGTTTTGTATTATTAAAGGATTTTAAGGTCCCTTTGTTAGGCATTCATGGAGAACGTTTCAACCCAAAGGCAAAAGGCCGAAACACCCCCCCAAATAAGTTCTCAAAAGACATATCAAAATGTCTAATCCAACATGACTCTTAACTAAGGACCCATACTTAAGCACGATGGTTCAATATCTTTGAACATGTCACATCCCTACACCCCACTCTTAACCCTACTTTTTAGGCCAAACCCAAAGCCAAAAGCATGTTAAACATTTGACCCTTTTTATCTAACCACGTTCAAACTCTAGAAAACAACAAAAGAAAACCTTCATTAAGTCTAAGCTCTTAAATCTAATCTTTGTCCTTTATCATCCCAACATAGTTTATTTGCCTCAATCTTTCCTTTTTAAAACATGATTAATTATCAGTCTTCATCTCAAAAAGTAGCCTCCCTTTGAATCATGGGTACATTAGAAAACGATTAGGGATATTATTAGAATTAATAATATAGCTCTAGATCTCTTTAATTTGTACATCATGGAAAGTGGCTGCAATAACAGTTTTTAGTGGGAAAGAAAGTGGATTCTGGAAATCACCTCAAAGATAAAACATGAAGTTCATCATAAACCACAACATAGGCCAACGCAATGTCCTCAAAGTCAATCCCATTTTGACTTTGAATGAATTTCATTGCAACTCTTTTATATGTGTACGTCTGTATGCATGCGTGTATGTATTTGTGTGCATGCGTCCGTATGTGAAAGTGATTTTTATTTCAAAAAAGAATAACAGTTAATTACTCTTCATAGCTCCCAAAGAGGTAAATTAATTTTCTTTACTTCCATTTAATTAAAAACTAAACATCTCAAGAGGGTTTTAATTATTGGTATTAAAGAGGTTAGGAAGTCATTATTAATCAAAATTTAAAGAGAAAACCTTAAAAGTAAGAAGCCATTTTTTTTAGGTCATTATTAGGTAACATTATAATTTTCATTGTTTACGGGTCATTAAGTCTCATCATACATGGGTTTAATCTGAGCATTTTAAATTCATGTTAATTTTGTGTAATTTACTTATTTTTTTATTAATGTATTTATTTCTTGTACCAAATATATTATACTCGTAATTTTTATTCGATAAAAGAAAAATCTTATTTATTTCAATTCATTTGGAGATTTCCAATAATATAAACAAAAGGGTGTTAGACAAATTTTGTGAGTAAGTCCAAGTTTTTGTATTGCATGATCTCTTTGTTCATGAATTCATTTTCCTTCATTTTCTTTTGTGTGTTATAATTTTCTACAAAACCAAACAAAAACTTAGGAAATTCTACTTTAGGAAATATCTTTGCAACATATATAATTGACAGCTAATAATTCATTGAAGTGGCAAAATTTAAGCCTAACAAAACTGATGACAACATATTTTGGGAATCAAACCCTAAAATATTCATTATACGAAACTCTAATTAACATTAATCACAGCTTTTTTCCCTAAAAACCCATCCTTATTTTCTTGGATTCACTCCCAAAATCAGTGGAGACAGCAAATTCTCTTATCAGTTCCTTCCTTCCCAATATAATTCCTTGTTCTAGCAATTTTCCTTTTTTTTAATTCTGAATTTTAAAACCCTAAAATCAAGGGTGATAAATAATATTTATAGGTCTCTGATCCATTCTCTCGTGCTCATACTTATAAAATATGAATCAAGCTTGTCTTAAAGAACAAAAACAGTACAATATGCTTTCATTCTTTTGGATTCAAGTTTTTTCAAGAACTCAACACATGGATATGCAAAGGTATTTTTTATCACTTTTTCTTTTATTTTCTTTGAATTCTTAATTTATTAAATCCTTTTTTTTGTTCAATCAGTTGGTTTTTATTATCGCTCTTTTTTGACACTTTAGTATTGCTTTTTCTTTTCTTTTTTTTTACAATTAGATCATTTAATTATTATTATTATTGTTTTTATTGAACTGCAAAATATTTTTCTTTTTAGTTAAAGTTGGTTTAAGAAAACCTAATTTTACTTTATTTCGTTTTCTGGTACAGTTTTTAAAATTATTCTTTTATCATTTTAATTATTATTTGTAGTGCATTTTGTTTCTTTTCCAACATTATGATAGCTATTCAATCTATCCCTGTCTACAAAACATATATATTTAATGATTTAGTTTAATTTGTACTCTAAAAATATGTTTAAATTGATTTAATTTTTATTTATGTGATACATACATACTTATATATATAAATTAAAATATTAAAATAAATAATATATATTAAAAATTATATTTGATACATTATCAATGTATAAATTTTATACACTATTGTCATCTCCTTACACATATTTTTGAAATAATATTTTATAATTTAATAACATTATATAAATATTATATAATATTGATTGTATATTGAATATAAATTTTATTTATTATTAGTGACGTGTCGTAGTAGACACAACAAATAATTGAGAGTGGGTTAATAATACAAAGTGTGCATTTTCCAAGCTGGTTGAAAAATATACCACAAACAATTTTACAAAGTGCTAGAATCACATTGAGAGGCTCCCATCAAACGAAACGCCCCGGTACCTCCTCTACATGAAACGAATCGATTAAGGCCCGAAACGTTTCGCCGAAAAATGCGGCAACTTGCCGCCTCTTTACTTTCCCATCACTTGTTCTTGCAAAAAAAAAAAAAAACTTTTTAACTCTTACAACCTCTTTTTTTTTTTTTTACCCTATTTTTCATTAAAAAAGAATAAAAGAAAATAAACAAAACAAGTGTTGTATAAATTTGACCCATTTAGGCCTAAGAATAAATAAATAAATAAATTCCCTCAGCACGACAGCTTATTAATTTTATTATTTATTAATTTATTTTTTTGGCTTTTCATTTTGTTTGTCTATTATTATTTTTTTAATAAATTAAATTATATAAATTTATAATTTAACATAGGACTGTGTTTATTTGATCAATAAAAGACAAATAAAATATGACAGAAGGAATATCATTTTTGGGGTTTAAATTTTATTTTATTCATGTTTTGGTGGGTTATCATCTTTTAACTTGTGTTTGCGTATAGAGAAAGAGCAGTTTCGTATGAAAAGTCAGCGACTCTCTCTCTCTCTCTCTCCAAGAAAACCATTCCTTCTTTTGCTTGTTATTGAGAGGAAAGAACATTGGTTTTGTTTTCCAAACCTTCAGCTTGGAAGCAAAGAGAAAACCTGTTTCTTTGCTTCCTTTCTTGTTAATAACCCAAACCCATCTCCATTCTTACCTTGTTGTTGATCATCGAAAGATTTCTGCATGTGTGTTTACGTCTGTTTTGATGCAAAGCAAAAGGACAGAGCAGAGACTTCTCTAGATATGGATATGGGGGGTGGAAAATGAAAGAATCAGCTGTTTCTTACATGTGTTTGTTTGCGTTAGTATAGCATGTGCAGTGTCTTCGGGCTACAGATGGAGAATTATCAAGGTGATTTAAACGATATAGTTCGGGCAAGTGGTGGTCCGATGGGGTGTGGCTCTGGTCATGGTGCCTCAGATGTTCCTGCTTCGAGCTGGCAGCAATTCCCCTCCGCCTCCGATCCATTGAATTTTGCATCATCAGCCATGGAAGATGATAGAGTGAACACGTTCGGTGACCCTTTCTCCACCTTGAGAGATCCACTTCTTCATGAGCTCAACGTGGCTGCTGCTGCTGGTTCAACCTACTTCAGCAGCCCTAATTCAACTGTTGACGACACTTCTAACTTTTCTGGTGCAAGTAACGTGGTTGGTCATGACAAGATTTTCGAGGATGACATGAGAACTAGTAGTCCCTGCAGCATCTTTTCTCGGATTCAGATCTCTCCTAGCTCTAGTAAGCTAGCCGTGTCCCCCTGTGATTCGCCGCCGCTGATGGCTGCTGCTGGTGGTGTTGGTGTTAGTGTTTCCCCAAGGGGAATTAAGGCTCCTGTTGTGCTCCCAAGCGACATGATTAATGCCAACAGCTCCAAAGGTTGCTTGATTGATAACTCCGGCCCACTGCAGATCTCATCTCCGCGGAATCTGGGTATCAAGAGAAGGTTAGGGTAATACCATTTTTTAATCCTGTAACTCTTGACTCTATCCTCTACTTCCTTAATTAACTAAACTCTATAAAAAAAACCAAGAAGGGTCAGGAACCTACTCTTCTAGTATTCAATTTTCCAGGGTTTTACTATATTTTATTGGTTTTTTTGGCTATGAATTAACAACCATGATGCATGAATTTAGGGGAAGGTGGGGAGATTTCTGTCATGAAATCATGTAGAGAGGATGTGAGGGAATTAGGGTTTATTGGCATTAATTACTATTATTATATGCATAATAAGAATCTGAATATTATGTGTGGGAAAGTTTTAAAATAAAGTTAGAAAAAAACATAAAAGTCCTGACAGGCTTTAATCAAAACCTCAAAAGGTATAGCTTAATTCTTAGCTTTCATGTAGTTATCTCAACTTACTTTTCTTCCCTAACCAACCTGAAAATGGTACCTATGATGTTCATTGCTCTTTGTCTTTAGACTATTGTACTATCGCTTTCACCTTCTTTAGGGAAAAATATCCAAAATATATATGTCTCGTGTTCCTTCCTCAAAGTTGAACTCAAACAAACATGCTTGCTCTCCCGAGAGATAATTTACTAGGAATTTTGGTATCAAGCTCTTCAGTAATGAAGTCATCTCCCCCTTCTTCTTGTTTAAGATTTAACATCAGTTGTTCAACATGATTATGCAGAAAGAGCCAGGCGAAGAAGGTGGTTTGTATTCCAGCACCAGCAGCTGCCAACAGCAGGTCTAGTGGGGAAGTAGTCCCCTCGGATCTGTGGGCATGGAGGAAGTATGGGCAGAAACCCATCAAAGGTTCTCCTTATCCAAGGTATATATATACTACTAATACTACTAAAACATTACTAGTTTGTTGTGGTTATCATTCTTTGATTAGAGGATGAGTACCCGAAAGTTACTAACTGGCTTAAGAAAACTAAAGCTGCATTCCCTATTGATCTGCTGTCTTTCTGACAAGCTGCAGACATCATGTTTCTTCTTTGGTTACAGTGTTCGCATTGAATTACACTCAAGCCAGAGAAGTTTCCTTTTGTTAAAAACCTGAAAACTAGAAATAAAGCACACTGCATTATCGTCACAAAGACATGCTTGTCGCCTAATGCTTGGGATAAGCAAGGCATAATGTCAAATGATAAAACAAAGTTCTTCTTCTTTGCTTTACTTGTTAGTAGTATTAAATATATATGCATTTTCGGCTTTCAATCTCGTGGCTTGCACTGATTGAAATAATTGATTCTTGTAATCTTGTCCAGGGGCTACTACAGATGCAGCAGTTCCAAAGGCTGCTCAGCTGCAAGAAGCAGAGTAGGCGCAGCCGAACTGATCCCAATATGCTGGTGATAACGTATACATCTGAACACAACCATCCATGCCAACCCAAAGAAATGCTCTTGCAGGGTCAACAAGGTCTCAGACATCCAAAAACAATGCTTCTTCTTCCAAGAGCTCACCATGTTCGCAGCCCCTAAGTTCATTAAACCCCAAGGAAGAGCTCAAGGAGAGCAGCAATGATGCTTTATCTCCAGCGGTTGCTGCTAGCTCAACTGCAAGTGCATCAGTTAAAGAAGAGGTTGAGGACATTGAGAAGCAGCTGGATATAGATGATGCTGAATTGGCGAAGGGATGCCTCAAACAACAGGCCTGCACTGCCAGACTCCCAGGCGCAATCTGAGGATTTCTTTGCTGATTTGGATGAGATAGAGGCGGACCCTCTAAATCTATTGTTTCCACAAGGATTCACTGAAGAAGAGCAGAAGGAAAACAAAGCCATGGATCCATTTAGTCTGTTTGATTGGTCGTCAGGGGACAACAACGCTTCCTTCTGAGAAGCCAAAAAAGGGGTTTATAGCAAGACCTTGAATTCAAAGCAACAAGCAACAAAGTTTCACACTCAAACATACATCGAGACTGTTTCTAAGTTAGGTTTGGTGCAAATGGATGCAAGGTCCCTCTATAAACCCTTCCTAAAATTCTCTGGTTTGGAAATTTGCATGTGGGGAGGTAAAGATTTTCGATCTCCGCCTACCTTTCTACTACAACCTTTGTTTATTTTCTTGTTATTTACCAGAATAGTCAGAAGATTAGGAAGGAAACGAGAGTAAAAGACAGTGCCGCTGGATTTGGAGCAGACCCGATGGAGTCCCACATTCCTTTTGGAATATTGGTGGATGGGACAGAAAGCTGAGGAACAGAAGGTTTCAACAGTTAAAACAAGTACGTCCATCAGACATGACTGGAAAACTCAGTGAGCAGATTGATTTAGGATGGACTTGCCCTTTCATCTTTTCAAGTGGAAAAAATTATTTAAGCTTCACCTTTGTCCATGTGGGCATGGGCAAGGGCATTCCCATTCTTATAAAGCCAAAAAAAAAAACGAAACCCCCCATGATTTCATTGCTTTGATGTGAAGAAATAAATGGGGAAAAGATGACAAAAAGACTATAGTGGTAAAAAAATCATTAGAAAAGCTTGACTTTTCTTGTCAATCTTCTCTTCTCTAGGAATGTGCAATGGAGAGAGAGAGAGAGAGAAAGAGATTTATACTCACACAAGCTTTGGGTTCCTCAGCTTTCTGTTTCTTTTATTATCCATCCAACTTTGTGTCTATTTTTATATTGGAGTATTTAATTATTTCAACATTTACTATTCTTTTTTGGGATACATTATTTAATTATGAAATTTCTTTCTCTATCAGTTACTAATTGTATAATACATTAAATACAGTTCAAGTCGATCTGACATAAAAACAGTAAAAACGAAGCATGTGTCCAGTTTGTGAAACCCACATGCATTTAATGAAATACATATTCACAAGTCTTTCATTCATAAATAGAATATTGTAAGTCAGTGTTACCCTATTGACCTACTGAATTCACTCCATTCATTTTTTTGGGGGATGAAGATGCACTGCTCAGTTTCTTCCCTTTGGGGATCTTACACCACAGGGAGAATCTTAAACTACCACCATCATTAATATATAGCAAGACTATTCTAGTACAAGACAAAAACTCAATTCAATTAACTACCAAGGGTTCATTAGTTATCAATATCATATTCTGTTGATGTTGAACATTAATTTTTAGAATGTTATAAGCTTAATCATTATCCATTAAAGTAGTTGTTGAGGGAACAATTCCAACATACTTAGCTCTTCTAGTGCCTACTGAAACTAGTGAGCCAGCAATTTTAGCTATGAAGGTTGTCAATGTAAGATGAAAGATGAATTTGTTGTAGTCGACATGAAAGAGAGATTGCCTAGATATTTAGTTCAGATTCAATACTTGATAATCTTGTTTCCAAAGGTCCCTCACAATATTATGTTAGATTATTTATTTGCTGCATATATATATATAATATTAGAATATGTTATAAAACTGATAAAAAAAAAAGATCAAGTGCTGTCTTAGTTTGGCCCTCCCAAAACCAAATGTCAAGATTTGCCACTGGGATAATAGTTTCTCCACTAAAATGCAGATAAACTCTAGGAAACTATATCTCCAGGATGTATATAATACTTAAAAAGAATAGAGAATCAAAGACTGTATTTTTGTGATTCTCTTGAATACATTTGAACTAAATTTTTTAAAAAAAATAGTATGTAAGATGAAAAATGACAATATTTTAAAGTGATTGATTGCTTTTAAAAAATATTTATAGGTCTCAACGGTGTTTTAATAAAACCATCCACGAAGAAATATATCTCTTTTAAAAAATTATAATCTTTAAAGAAAAAAAATTATTTTGAACATTTCGTTTCACAAATTTACTTGATTAGCCTATGTTTTTTCAAAAATTAGCTACTCAATATGGATTAATCCATCACTTTCATTTATATTAGGCATAATTAAACTCAAAATAATCAATTAATTAATAAGAATGTTAGGAATGCAAATGAAATAAAGTACACATGTCAAAAGCTGCTTCATGACTTTGGGAAACTTGATGCCTCTCATGGTAATGCAAGCAACTTTTTACTCAATTTATTATTGTGGAATAGTGGGTTCAAGTTCTGTCAAATCCATCACTTTACTGAAAAATTTCATGCCCTTTTATTTTTATTTTTTCAATTGAAGTCACTTCAATGGAGGGAAAAGAACAGTCCAAAGTTCTCTCATAGTGATTGAGAATGGGATGGTGTGGGTTTCCTTTTCTTCTTCTTTTTTTTTTTTATTTGTTTCTTTATAATTTTCTCCCAATATTCTTGGTTCATGACATGATAGTCACAATGCATTACAAGAAGCAAATGGGGGCATTGGGGGTTTATGGCTGATACTGTTCTCATGATTTTGAAAAGAAAGAGATGAGGTTAGTTGATGGCATGCATAAAGCCCCTCTCCACCCACTTGCCCTCTCTTAAATTCGTGATTACCATATGCTTTGCTTTGAGCTATCTTATCTCCAAGACTTCATTTCCTTAAAACACTATGCACATGTTAAATCATTTCATCCCTTCATATTTATACATTTTTGGGTCAAATTTTGATTATGTTATACTGATTTCCTACCTACCATTAATCTAACAATATGTTAATACCACTTGAACTTTTTCAAAGTAATTAAAATTCTTTTGAATAATTTTGATAGTGTTGATTGTACAACTTTACGACTATAATTTTATACTTTATAATTTAAAAAAATTTGAACATATTTCACACACAAATTACTTAAATTATAATTAGTATAGAGATGGATAAACATCATTTTGAGATGATTATAATATGTGATATAGTTAATAAAATTTGTTTAAGAAAAATAATAGAGCATATATACATGTTTATGTGTGAAAGAATAATAATGATTAATTAATAATTATAATGTACCAATTTGTTTGTACACGTCAGGAGTAAGCCATTATAGAATCCAAGAATTAATTAATTGAAAGGCTGATCTTAATCGTGGTCTCAACCTTGACATAAAAAAAAATACCCTCCAATTTGTTTTGTTAGGAACAATAAAGTTGTTCCTCGTGTCATTATTATTTTATTAGAAAATTGGAGGTCTTAATCATCATGATGATACCCTCTTTCCCCCCCCTTTTTTTTTAATTTTAATTATTATTATTCCTCTTGTTGTCGCCAAAACAACTTTTTAATCATTTCTTGAGATTTTAATTTTTTTTATCCAATGAATTTATTTTAATTGTTTTGATGTAAAATTAGGTTTATGTTAAAATTCGATAGATCGAAAATATATTTATTAACATCTTATTAAGAGATTATTTAAACGCTTTACAATATGAATCAAAATAAAAAAATTATTTAAAATCAAAATCAGACTTAAATTATATAAAAAAAAACATAAAACTAAGAACATCCATATTAGATTCAAATCAAACTTAAAACAAGGTGTAAGATGTTATGAACATCGGCCTCAACACCAAATAAAAAGTAATTAATAAATTATTAAAAAAATTTATTTAAGAACAAATTGATTTGATGGTTGTTTTGGTGAGGATCATGTAAAATCCAATTCAAAAAATTTTGGGATAAATCCATTTTGTTGAAATTTCGAGCTCAAGGTGGGACCAAGAAGCATTGGGTCGGTCGTATCAACCTCTATGATTTTGCCTCACTTCCTTGCCTGTTGGCCACCAATTTTAACTCATTCACTTCACTTGCCTTTGGATTTTAGCACATGCAATAAATATGTAAATTCCTTTTTTATTTTTTATTTATAAAAATTAAGATAAAATTTTAGAATTTCATTTCTTATTAAATACTTTCTTTTGCATCATTAGCATCAATTCCATATACATACCTACTGAAATATTTCCTAATAATATATCGAATTCTAATAACATAATTATAACGGATTAAAAACAACATTATTTAACCGTTTCTTAACAGATAAAACATATCTTGAAGAATTACATTGAGATTGTAAAATATATATCAAATTTTAAATTTGTCTTTAGGGTTAGTAAAAATTGAGATTTATTAAATTACAAATATTTTTTGTTTGATTGCATATGTAAAAAATTGGTGTTCAAAATAATGGGAATTTAATTAGATGCATGGGTTAAATCATCCAAAAGTAAAGATTGAGTAATTGGGGGAAAAAAGATAAGGGGAAAGAATCATACATGAGCTGATTTGCATTTGCCATCTCTTTCATGGTCGGGCTTGTTCTGTAAACCTGATGAGGAATGAGGGTTGGAGTTATGCACCTCGACTTGGAGCCTAGCTCTAGCTAGTCATTTTCTTAGCATCACTTTCTGATCTTTGCAAGTAGGAAATGAAGCTAAGAACTCTAGAGTTGGTAGGGTGATTGATCATATCAACATCCTATAAAGGGTGAAACATTTTTCAAGGAATGCAGAAGAAAAAGAACAAAAAAAATTGGGGTCCTCACAACACAAGCAATCCATCAACAGTTGATGAGTCCTGACAACATGAACCAGTCAAGGTTTTATTTTTATGAAATTATGTTATCGTGTTAGAATAATTTATTATGATAAATTTTATTATAGTATTAATTCATAATGATATTATTAGCTCGTAATTAATTTTATGAAAACCTATTACGGTGAAATTTACTACAATATTAATTCTGTAATGATATTATGAATCTATAATAAATTTTATGAAACTTTTGATATTGAAGATACTGTCAGATTAAATAAAAAAATTTAAATTATAGTCTATTTTTGAAATATTCATTTGAAAATGCAATCATATAAGCAATTACTAGTAATTGAGCATAGCTCTAGCTAGTCATTTTCTTAGCCTCATTTTTGTGATCCTCTAGGATTAAGAAATGAAACTAAGAAGTCTAGAGTTGGGTGGGGTGATGATCATATCGAAACACTACAAAAGGGTGAAACCTTTTTTGAAGGAACAGAGAAGAAAAGGAAACAAAAAAATGGGGGGTCCCATCTGGCCTACAAAGAGTTGATCATATGGATGTCGAGGTGATTTTTGCTCTACCAATTCATCAACATGAATGACTAAATTTGATTGAATATGAAAACCAATGATCTAAAAGTGGGACACATAGGCATTAATTCCTTGACTTGTAATGCAAACAAAAGTATTTTTAAGTGACTTGTGATCATGTCTACAAGTATTTTACAAGAAATTATAGTTACTTTGGGATATTGCCTTGAGGGTCATGGAGATTTGGTGTATCACAAGCATTAATCGACGACTGAAATCGAATCAATTAATCAAAATTGATTAAATTCTTCTAATGTAATCTAATTTATTTAATTTTAATTATAATATAAAATATTAAAATCAATAAAATCGGTCGAACTGATTCAATTTTTCTTAATAAAATTTGATTAATTTAAATTTAAAAGTATAAGTTCGAACCAACTAAATAATCACACTTACATAGATAAAAGCCTATAACATACCCATCACAAGTGTCTGATCCAAATCCCTAATATAGAAAATTTCTTGGCCTCAAAAACCTTTCTACCTTTCCTACTAAGGTACAAGTTTTAAATTATTTACTATTGGTTACTATATCTGAAAATTGCCACTTGGTCTTCTAATTGCACAACCAAGTGCAATTTGCCTCCTTTGCAATATATTATAAAGTAGAAACCTCCAAATGAAAAATTTTCGAATTCTAGTCCTTTTTTGAAATGTTCATTTGCAAAAAGCAGTCGTATAGAGATTACTCAAAGTTGAACTTCTATATAACCTCAATCACAACACCAAAACCACACAAAATAAGTTAGAACCAAACTGGTGTTTGTATCTCCCACCAAAAGACCTAAATTCTAGTCACACAATCATTTCTCCATTGCTACCTCAAAGCATGATGGAGCAGCTATTGCCTAACAATTGTCTTATTGATCGTCATATCCATCTCAAGCCCCAGCTCTGTATGTTTTATGTTGCTCGGACCATAGTCGACCTTCAGACGGAAAAGACACAACACCTCTGTTGCATGCTCGTAGCCTCCGGCATAGCTAACAGGGTTGAGAAATAGTATATCCTATTTTATCATCCTCAGTAGCTAGACAAAAGTCTCAGAGCAATTCATTTTGCTACATACAAAAGTTGAATCTCTAGGTGTATAGTATACAGTCCATGTGAGACTCACTTAAAACCAAGAATGGGCAGAAACGCAGCTTGCATGTCTGTCTGATAACATAGAACAAACATGCATGCAACCAGAAACAGAAACTCAATATATAATCGTTAAAATATAGTACCATTTAGTATAACTACATAACCGGCATTCATACAAAAAATAATTATACTATGAAAGAGCTTAAAAAAATTTGAATGTCTCACTAGAGGTCCACGACAATCACTGTTATGATGTAGAACAATCAATTTAAGAAAAGCGAGAGAGAACATTTATGAGATACCTGTATAATTTGTTCCTATAGTTACTGGTGTGATGGGCAAATAATGAACAACCTAGACTGATCACTTAAACTTCTCCCTTCATCTTTCTATAGGCAATATAAACAGAGGTTATTATCTACTCCAAAAGCACATCTCGAAACGATTTACAGGAAGAAATCTAACTCCTCCATCTATATCCTGCTGTACCGAGAATGACCATAATGCTATTTTCACATAATAATTAAATACTAGACAAAGAAGAATCTTTTAACATATATATGATGACCCAACCTGTTTTATTGCCAATTTGCAACGTTGAAAAATATTTTCATTCCCAATTTGCTGTGGATAATTTACCTACGGAAAGCATCTTTTCTGCTATCTTTGCAAATGTTTGCGAAAATATTGTGCGGATCTAATAGATTGATGTTCAGGCACCGGGCTTTCAGGTTCCTCTAATTGAGTTGGCAAGAGGTTGAGATAGCTTCCCTTTGTTGGGGGATCAGGAGGACTTGGAGTTTCTGCAAAATGGGGACAAGCAGGCAAACAGTGAAGAAGTGACTCACAAAACAAAAACAACTAGTAGTACTTAGCAGTAAGAGTGAACTCAATTACCAAACAATGACTTCACGGAAGGTCTCTTAGGTGCAGTACTTTTCTTCCTCAACTCAGCTGCAATCAAATATGCATGTAACAGTCAGCAGTTTTCAAGGGGGGGAAATGTTTTCAAGCACCTAAAAAGTAGGTTGTAGTATGTGCTTTCTGCATTTACTATTGCATAGTTATTGCTACTATGGTGTTAGTACTATTATTGCTACTATTGATACTACTACAACTACTAATGAAAAAGTTAATAATAATATTAGCAAGTTTTTCAATGTACCCAAAAAAAAAAATGTGGAATAACAACTTTTAACGACCCATCCTTACATCTTGTTACTGTTGTCACTGCATTATCATCATCATAATACTATTATTATAGTTCGGTTTGTTTTGCCTTATTTAAACATGTGTTATAGTGAAAAGGATGGCAAAGAAAATGCAAAAAAAAAAAAAAAAGACTACATTCCGATCTTCTAAAACACATGCATAAAGTAAATTCCAAAAAGAAAGTTAAAACAAAACCAAAAAAGGTACATACCGCATAGAATTATTGCAATTATATTAGCCTATTAACAAATAGTATTATTAACAATTCTGAATCCTTAGCTTAGTATAGTTGACTTTTGAATCATATCAAGCAGTGGAACCCAAAACAAAAGTCAGTTTTCTTGTCGATACAAACCAATGCCTGGAAGATGATGCTCATTGGCAATCTCAACATTCTTGTATGTATAACCGACAAAATTAGCATCCTTCGACGGAAGCATCTGCAATTTTTGAAAATAAAAAGTCAAAGATCTATCAATTGTTACAGATATATAATGTGGAGAAAAAGTTGGGCTGCAGCATAATTGCACCTAAAGACAAATATCAGGTATAAATGCATGTTATATAAAACAAGGCAAGTATAATATAATTCTTATAGGGTGCATTTGATGCAAAAGATGACAGAGAGAATAAGATAAAAAATTATAGCATACAGTATTTGGTATCTACTCAAAAGGAGGATCGGATGGGTGGATTACTCATTCTTTCAGAATAAAGTAGAAGAGATTACTGAATCCTATGGGAAAAGATTAGAGGATGAATTCCCAACCAATAATTATTATTTCAATGTTTCCTATTTTACCTTCAAAACTTGCATTTTCCTTTAAATTTATTTAGCATGCAATGTATAGGGAGGAATAAATTTGCCAATTGCAAAAGTCTCATGTTATCATATATTTTATCATATCTACAACAGACAATGGCATTGGTTAAGAATTTATTATATGTTACATTTAATCTTCTACACCAAACATAAGATAATATAAGATTACCTACTTCTATTCTATCTTATATCCTATCGTATTCTCTCCATGTACCAAATGCACACAGAGTATGATATATATCATGGATCAAAAAAAGGTGAGCAATGATAAACATAGCAGCAAATTGTCCAAAGAAGGCATACTGACCATAAAGAGCCTAAATTTGGTCATACACTTCCCACTTATCAGGGGATTTCGTTCACCTCAATGTCTTTTTAGTAAAGAACCACTTGTACTCTAAAAGCAAGCGCATAGTAGTATATATAGCTTTGACATTGTGAAAAAAAAAACCCAAAATATGTACACAAGTGAAATGAAAATTAAGTCTGAAGTATAACTAAGATGTGGGGAGATTGATGCAAAAGATTTTAAGTTACCTTTCTCCAGGGACCCGATTTTGTAGAAGTTTGTACTTGAGCCCCCATCTATAGATGCAATCAATGAACAAATTGTTACATAAGTAGGCAGAAAAGAAAAAAAAGGAAACAGAAAAAGCAATTAAAGGTGAAAGGAACGCCCAGAGCCATCAGCTTCATTGAAGCTAGCACTGGTAAACAAACACAAAGGTCATGCATCTCTGAGAAACCTTCACACACCTTTAGCAAAAAATAGCATGAGAAATTTATAACAATTTAAAGGTACCATCCATTTTCTTTTTCTGTACAGACCACATGAAGTTAATTAAAGATTAATGTGCACAGGGATGCAATCCTTTAACAACTTTGCACAAGTTGGAAGAAAGATAAATAGCATTTCAAGTGCGGAGATGTGAAGATTAAACTACTGAAAACAACACTTAACATAGTACAAGAACAACATAACCAAAGCCTTTTCCTGCTACATATGGTCAGCTGCATGGATTAAATTATTCCACAGTAACCTAGTAAGAGAAACCTTTACTACTAACCTCTTCAAACTTTTCAAAGTTCTGTGTATCTAGGTCACTGTTAACCTCTGGTATAAAAGCAGCATCCATCTGATATAATCTGTCCCATTCAATGTCTTGGAACCATGGATGTGCCTGAT